TGTTTGTGTGTGAATATATATATTTGTTTTTGTGTATATATTATATATGTGTGTGTGTGTTTTTATATATATGTGTGTGTGGGTGGGTTATTTTATTATGTGTGTGTGTGTATATATATATATTGTGTGTGTGGGTATATATATATGGGGTGTGTGTATATATATTGGGGTTTTGTGTGTGGTGTGTTTTATTTGTTTTGTGTGTGTGTATATATATATGTGTGTGTGTTTTTGGTGTTGTTTATATATATATTTATGTGTGTGTGGGTGTGTGTATATTTATATATGGGGTGTGTGTGGGTTTATATATATATGTGGGGTGTTTTGGGTATGTGTATTTTAAAAAATTTTTTTTTGTATGTGTATATATATATATATATATGTGTGTGGGTGTTTGTGTATATATGTGTGGGGTGTGTGTATTTTTATATGTGTGTGGTGTGTTGTATATATATATATAATTATATGTGTGTGTGTGTGTTTTTATAATAATGTGTGTGGTTTTGTGTGTGTGTGTCTATATATATGTGTGTGTGTGGTATATATATTTTTATATGTGTGTGTGTGTATATATATATATTTGTGTGTGTGTGGTATTATATATGTGTATATATATATGTGTGTGTGTTTATATATATATATGTGTGTGTTATATATATTATATATGTGTGTGTGTATATATATATATATTATATGTGTGTGTATTTATATTTATTTTATATATTGTTGTGTGTGTATATATATATATGTGTGTGTGTGTATTTATATATATGTGTGTGTATATATATATATATATGTGTGTATATATATATATATATATGTGTGTGGTTTATATATTTGTGTGTGTGTATATATTTTTATATGTGTGTGTGTGTGTATATATTTATGTGTGTGTGTATATATATATATTTGTGTGTGTGTGTGGTATATGTGTGTGTGTGTGTATATATATATATGTGTGTGTGTGTATATATGTGTGTTCAGTATTATGGCTGCAGGTTGTATCAGCAAGTCTAGATGTCCAGAGCACCCCCCTCCCCTCCCCCTTCCATCAGATGTCAAGAGCCCCTCACCCTGCCTTCCATCACAATGCCACCCCCATTACCTTGCCAGGAAGAAGCTGGGGGCGGAGCTGGGAAGCCGAAATTGCAGGGTCTGGAGGAGGACCAGAGGAAGGGTGGAGTCAGTGCTAGAGTCTGCTGAACATTGAAACCAGGGGGATGCAGAGACGAGGGGGTGCTGTGGCTGCACAGAGAGGCGCAGGGTCCGTAGGAGTCCCGTTGCTGCTGTGACAAAGTGGGGGTGGAGAGGAGGGGGTGCTGCACTGAGAGGCATAGGATCTGTAGGAGGAGTTCTGTCACCTCTGTTTCTCTCCGCTTCTCTCCCTGTGACCACTGTTATCAGGGCAGCAACATGCTACCCCAGTGTCTCTGCACTTCTCTATGCAATACATACAGATCTTGGCTGGTGGGAGGGGCCAGCGGGATACTGTACATAGCTTCCTGAAAACATCACAGCACCCTGCCTCAGTACTCCTCTCAGAAGCCCCCAGTCCTGGTGCAAGCAGTGGGGAGGAGTTATGCAAATATCAAAAATTTCTTGATGTGTGGGTGTCAGTCTGGAGGAGTGGGCATTCTCAGGCAGGCTGTTTTTGCATAGGTAACGCCCACATGTGATGCTGAACCTCCATGATTGACAGAATTGAAATGCAATAAATGAAAGGGGTGGGGCCAGGGACAGTCAGGCTCACAGTATGCAGTGAAATCAGAGGAAGCCATTTCAGTCCAGGGGAGGAGCCGGTACACCTGCGCAAGACTGGAGGGGAGGAGCCGGTACACCTGTGTAAGACTGAAGGGGAGGAGCCGGTACACCTGTGTAAGACTGAAGGGGAGGAGCCGGTACGCCTGTGTAAGACTGAAGGGGAGGAGCCGGTATGCCTGTTCAAGACTGGAGGGGAGGGGCTGGTACACCTGTGCAAGACTAAAGGGGAGGAGCCAGTACACCTGTGCAAGACTGAAGGGGAGGGGCTGGTACACCTGTGCAAGACTAAAGGGGAGGAGCTGGTACACCTGTGCAAGACTAAAGGGGAGGAGCTGGTACACCTGTGCAAGACTAAAGGGGAGGAGCTGGTACACCTGTGCAAGACTGAAGGGGAGGAGCCAGTACACCTGTGAAAGACTGAAGGGGAGGAGCTGGTACACCTGTGCAAGACTGAAGGGGCTACCAGTGTCTTCCATGTGTAATTGTGATCCTTCTTCTCTCCGCACTCAGCAAACTCCAGTGTCTGCACTTCAGCTCCTGGGACACCAGCAAGGAGTGGATGGTGGATATGCCCAAAGGGGAGGACATCCAGGCCGTCTGTCTGGGGCTGGGCTGGGTGGCGTGCGCTACCAACACCTTGCTGCTTCGTATCTTCAGTGTCGGGGGAGTTCAGAAGGAGATCCTCAGTCTTCCGGGGCCTGTGGTGTGCATGGCGGGACATGGCGAGCAGCTGATCCTAGTCTACCATAGAGGTTGGTGTGTCATCTGCTCCACATTTATCGAGTCCTTATTATTCTTCTCCACCCCCTCCCCCCATAAGGACGAGCGGGAGAGTCCCCAACCCCCCCCCCCCCACCATAAAGACGAGCGGAAGAGTCGTCCCCCCCCCCCCCCCCACCATAAAGACGAGCGGAAGAGTTCACCTGATAGAATGTTTATAGAAAGAATTGTTCTATTATCCGATGTCTGCGGACAGCATTAGAAGGGCTGCTGGTGATGGAGAGAGACGGTCACCGTACTCCTCTGGTGTGTAATTAAGGCTATCCCCTCTTCAGTCCATCATGAATGCTGCTGCCAGACTCCTCCACCCCTCCGTTACGAATTCTCCACTGGCCTCCATTCAGTGTCCTCCACCCCTCTCTGCCAATCCCTCTGCTGGCCTCCATTTAGTGTCCTCCACCCTCTCTGCCAATCCCTCCACTGGCCTCCATTCAGTGTCCTCCACCCCTCTCTGCCAATCCCTCCACTGGCCTCCACTCAGTGTCCACCCCTCCCTGCCAATCCCTCCACTGGCCTCCATTCAGTGTCCTCCACCCCTCCCTGCCAATCCCTCCACTGGCCTCCACTCAGTGTTCTCCACCCCTCTCTGCCGATCCCTCCACTGGCCTCCATTCAGTGTCCTCAGTGCTGAGGTAGGTAGGGGGTGGAACCAAGGGACGGTGCTCAGAGGTGGGTAGGGGGTGGAACCAAGGGATGGGGCTCAGGTGTGGGTAGGTGGTGGAACCAAGGGACGGTGCTCAGAGGTGGGTAGAGGGTGGAACCAGGGGGCGGTGCTCAGTGGTCGGTAGGTGGTGGAACCAAGGGGCATTGCTCAGAGGTGGTAGAGGGGTGAACCATGGTTGATGCTCAGAGGTGGGTAGAGGGTGGAACCAAGGGACGGTGCTCAGAGGTGGGTAGAGGGTGGAACCAAGGGACGGTGCTCAGAGGTGGGTAGAGGGTGGAACCAAGGGACGGTGCTCAGAGGTGGGTAGAGGGTGGAACCAAGGGGCATTGCTCAGAGGTGGTAGAGGGGTGAACCATGGTTGAGGCTCAGAGGTGGGTAGAGGGTGGAACCAGGGGGCAGTGCTCAGTGGTGGGTAGGGGGTAGAACCAAGGGGCAGTGCTCAGTGGTGGGTAGGGGTGGAACCAAGGGACGGTGCTCGGCAAAGGGTAAGGGAAGAAACCAGGAGGCAGTGCTCAGAAGTGGGTAGATGGTGAAACCAGGGGGTGGTGCTCAGAGGTGGGTAGGGGGTGGAACCAGGGTTGCTGCTCAGAGGTGGGCAGGGGGTGGAACCAAGGAACAGTGTTCAGAGGTGGGTAGAGGGTGGAACCAGGGGGCGGTGCTCAGAAGTGGGTAGAGGGTGAAACCAAGGGACAGTGCTCATAGGTGGGCAGGGGGTGGAGACAGAGTCACTCAGAAGGGGGGAGTCCCTGCACCCTAGATTTGACTCCTACCAACAAAATCCAGCCTGGAAGTGGTTGAAATTTCCCGGATCATAGGACGGGTGTGACCGTGTCTTCTGTCTGCCGCCCAGGTACGGGATTCGATGGAGAGCAGTGCCTCGGCGTGCAGCTCCTGGAGCTGGGGAAGAAGAAGAGGCAGGCCTGCATGGCGACCCTCTGCCCCTGTCCAGGAAGAGTTACCTGTCCTGGCTCGGCTTCAGTGCAGAAGGTAAGAAGTATAGAAGTAAAATGTATTACAAAGTAAAGTCTGCTTATAGTGTGAACTCCGTCATCGCCTACGACAAGGTCCAGGGTGAGGGCTAAAGTACAGAACTTTTTTGCACACATGCAGGAAAAATCATCAGTCTGAAGCATTTAATTAAAACTAGCGAAATTAAAATTCTTGAAGCAAAACCGAAAATTCCGGATGCATTTGGCCGAAAACTGAAAGCGAAACGGACAGTTTTTTTTTTTTTTTTTTAATATTTAATTGTATTGTATTCGGCTTTTTAATGAATATCATGTATTTAAATAAATAGTAGCGCTTTTGCATTTCCCCCCACTGACACCAACGACGGGGCGCTGTTCCTCCCCCGGACGCCGGCGACGGGGCGCTTTTCCTCCCCCGGACGCCGACGACGGGGCGCTGTTCCTCCCCCGGACGCCGACGAGGGGGCGCTGTTCCTCCCCCGACGCCGACGAGGGGGCGCTGTACCTCCCCCGGACGCCGACGAGGGGGCGCTGTACCTCCCCCCGGACGCCGACGAGGGGGCGCTGTACCTCCCCCCGGACGCCGACGAGGGGGCGCTGTACCTCCCCCCGGACGCCGACGAGGGGGCGCTGTACCTCCCCCCGGACGCCGACGAGGGGGGCTGTACCTCCCCCCGGACGCCGACGAGGGGGCGCTGTACCTCCCCCCGGACGCCGACGAGGGGGCGCTGTACCTCCCCCCGGACGCCGACGAGGGGCGCTGTACCTCCCCCCGGACACCGACGAGGGGGCGCTGTTCCTCCCCCCGGACGCTGAGGCGCTGTTCCTCCTACTGACACCAGTGATGGGACATTTTCTACTCCCACTGGCCAGAGTCCAGCTCCCTAAAGTCTGAAGGACAGTATACTGGCCCTTTGTTTAGAGACCTCCCCCCACTCTAGAGGGACCCCCCAGGTCCGGTGTATACATAGTTCCAGCTTGTCCCGTAGATCTGTATAATACAGCCATGCCTGGACTTCTCCTCACTTGCAGACCAGCGCTGTGCCGGTACACTGCTGGACTTTTGCTGGTTATATCTGGGTGTCGCTCGCAGCTGCAGACATCATCCCGGCACCAAATTTTTTTTTTTTTCAGCCGGCGGTCGGCTTTCTTGTAAAAGCAATCCTAGCTGCTAATTAGCTGCTGGTGGGAACGCCCCCATCCCCCACCCCTCTCCCGCTACCTTCCGCGGCTTTCTTGGTCTCTCCTGTCCCAACAGGAGACCCAGTGAAGTCGCACAATTTTTGAATGCATCAAAAATGCACGCGGTAAAACGCATCAAAAAAGGCACCGGAACGCACCAAAAATGCACTGGAACGCACATGCCCATATTTAAATTGAAGAAAAGAGGGGAAAAATGAACTGGAACTCATCAAAAATGCACCGGAATGCATCACAAATGCACCAAAAACGCACTGGAACGCACATTTCCCTATTTAGGGCCAGTTCACACTCCGTGCGTTGCAGTTGCTTTTTTTTCTGCATCCAACGCACGCACAGAAAGTCGGTGATATGGTTGTCAGTGTCATAGTTCACATCAGCGCTTGCAGTTCCGGATGCAGAAAAAGTAGAAGCGGCTGCATTTTTCCTGCACAGAACTGTACTGCAATGTGGTAAAATGCATCAAAAATGCACCGGAACGCACATGTCCATATTTAAACAGAAAAAAAGGAGAGGGGGGAAATGAACTGGAACGCATTAAAAATGCGCCGAAACCACGCATTTGGAAACGCATCCGGAACGCATCTGTACTGCGTTTCTATGGTGTGAACCGGCCCTAACTGTCATCAATATGGACAAACATTTAAGTTGCATAAAAAACGTCTTTCCCTTAAAAATAATCGCTAAGAATGGACGCTCCACGCAGCTTTCCCAGCGTTTGAGCATTTAAGTGCATTTCAGCCAACGGCCACTAGGTGACGGAATAATATCAGCCTACGGATGCGTTCCATTGGCTGCCGGCGATGTTTTGGGTTCGTTACTTTGTGGATTTCATTAACAGCAATAAATCTGCTGCTGGAAACGAACTTCTGTGAAAACATAAAATCGCTGGCGCTCAATATTGGCAAAAATAAAAACCACGGCGACAGATGAGCCCGAGTCTCCGTAAATATCGCAGAAATGGAGAGCGATTTTTACAGATCTCATGGCGGGGAAATGGTCGCCTTCTCCATTTACACACGGCAGGTAAGTATAGACATGTTTGTTATTTCTCACCCCCCCCAAAAAAAAAATGAACCTTTAGTATTGCTGTAAGATCTTTTAGCGCGCTTCACTTTGTCAGACAGCTTCTATTTAGGTGATTTCTTGATACTTTCCCCCCTTCCAGTCCGGACACTTTCCCCCCCTTCCAGTCCGGACACTTTCCCCCCCTTCCAGTCCGGACACTTTCCCCCCTTCCAGTCCGGACACTTTCCCCCCCTTCCAGTCCGGACACTTTCCCCCCCTTCCAGTCCGGACACTTTCCCCCCCTTCCAGTCCGGACACTTTCCCCCCCTTCCAGTCCGGACACTTTCCCCCCCTTCCAGTCCGGACACTCTTCCCCCCCCCCCTTCCAGTCCGGACACTCTTCCCCCCCCCCCTTCCAGTCCGGACACTTTTCCCCCCCCCCTTCCAGTCCGGACACTTTCCCCCCCTTCCGGTCCGGACACTTTCCCCCCCTTCCGGTCCGGACTCTTTTCCCCCCCTTCCGGTCCGGGCACTTCCCCCCCCCTTCCGGTCCGGACACTTCCCCCCCCCCCCCCCCCGGACACTCTCTCCCCCCCCCCTTCCGGTCCGGACACACTTCCCCCCCCCCCCCCTTCCGGTCCGGACACTTTCCCCCCCCCTCCGGTCCGGACACTTTCCCCCCCCCCCCCTTCCGGTCCGGACACTTCCCCCCCCCCTTCCAGTCCGGACACTTTCCCCCCCTTCCAGTCCGGACACTTTCCCCCCCCTTCCAGTCCGACACTTTCCCCCCCTTCCAGTCCGGACACTCTTTCCCCCCCCCCCCCTTCCAGTCCGGACACTTTCCCCCCCCCCTTCCAGTCCGGACACTTTCCCCCCCTTCCGGTCCGGACACTTTCCCCCCCTTCCGGTCCGGACTCTTTCCCCCCCTTCCGGTCCGGGCACTTCCCCCTTCCCCCTTCCGGTCCGGACACTTCCCCCCCCCCCCCCCCCCCCGGACACTCTCCCCCCCCCCCCCTTCCGGTCCGGACACTTCCCCCCCCCCCCTTCCGGTCCGGACACTTTCCCCCCCCCTTCCGGTCCGGACACTTCCCCCCCCCCCCCCCCCCCCTTCCGGTCCGGACACTTCTCCCCCCCCCTTCCGGTCCGGACACTTCCCCCCCCTTCCGGTCCGGACACTTTCCCCCCCTTCCGGTCCGGACACTTTCCCCCCCTTCCGGTCCGGACACTTTCCCCCCCTTCCGGTCCGGACACTTTCCCCCCCTTCCGGTCCGGACACTTTCCCCCCCTTCCGGTCCGACACTTTCCCCCCTTCCGGTCCGGACACTTTCCCCCCCTTCCGGTCCGGACACTTTCCCCCCCTTCCGGTCCGGACACTTTCCCCCCCCTTCCGGTCCGGACACTTTCCCCCCCCTTCCGGTCCGGACACTTTCCCCCCCTTCCGGTCCGGACACTTTCCCCCCCTTCCGGTCCGGACACTTTCCCCCCCTTCCGGTCCGGACACTTTCCCCCCCCTTCCGGTCCGGACACTTTCCCCCCCTTCCGGTCCGGACACTTTCCCCCCCCTTCCGGTCCGGACACTTTCCCCCCCCTTCCGGTCCGGACACTTTCCCCCCCCCTTCCGGTCCGGACACTTTTTCCCCCCCCTTCCGTCCGGACACTTTCCCCCCCCCTTCCGGTCCGGACACTTTCCCCCCCTTCCGGTCCGGACACTTTCCCCCCCTTCCGGTCCGGACACTTTCCCCCCCTTCCAATCCAGGGCAATTTTCAGCTTTCAGCGCTATCACACTTTAATGACAATTGCGCGGTCATGCAACACTGTACCCAGATGAATTTTTTAGCATTTTTTGAGACAGATAAAACTTTATTTTGGTGGTATTTATTCACCGCTGGGATTTTTTATTGTTTTTGCTATATAAATCAAAAAGTCCAAAAATGTTGAAAAAAAAAGTGTTTTTCTTATACAATTCTGCAAATAAATAATATTTCATCATAAATCTTGGCCAAAATTTATTCCGTTATCTTTTTAGTAAAAAAAATAACCCAAATTAGTTTATAACCAAAAATTATAATTTAAAAAAAGTTTTTTACATTTTTATTTTTTTTTATTTTATTACTATTTTTTTTTGTTAAATACTGTCACCCTAGCAGTGTGGGGTCACCATGGTGACACTGTACTGCTTGTGGGGGGTGATGAGTTTTATTTATTTATTTTTTTTTACACTGATTGCTTTTACACCCATAAAGGCTGTAAGAGGAATCATTTCTCCTTCTCTCTGTCTGCATTCCTGCAGCCATTGAGAAATACTGTGAGAGCTGTGATTGGTCACAGCTTGTCACATGGTACAAGGCTGTTGTGAATGGCCCTGTACCGTGTGATCTCTGTGATCATTCACAGATTTCACATGTAGTAGGCAACGATGTCAGAAGTGACATCATGTTTACTACTCTTCATGTGATCACTGATTGGCCAAACAGTGATCACATGATCGGGACCTCGCACAGAGGTCCCGTACAACGATTGGTGTTCCACTGTGTTCGGAGGACACAGAGGGCACCAGATCGCGGTGCAGCGCGTTCCCAGGGTGCGCACACAAGTAGGGGGCGGGGAGGACGTTTATAAACGGCCACCCGCCCCTGCACTGCCACCGTCTGGCTGTTTATATACAGCGGCCGGATGGGAAGTGGTTAATAAATCATCATTTACAAACTGCATTTTGTATTTCTCGGGTTGTCTTCCTGTAATAATATTTGTATTGTATCATTTAAGAGTGAAAAATGGAAAGAAACCATTTAGGAGCAAATACTTGTTCACCCAAAAAAAAAGCGTAATGAAGAAATATATTCTGATCCTGAGGCTCCCCCAGTCTAGGAAAAGAAACAAATGACTGTTTTTGTGTCTCGGAATACGGCGGCTGATCCATGAGTGTGGCACAATGATTGGACCCCCGCACACTTTACAAAACCCCCCCCCCCCCGGTGGACGATATTCGTTCTCTTGCTGTTCGTGTTGATTGTCTGTTCTTTCCCTCGTTAGGCAGCCCGTGTTCTGTGGATTCGGAGGGGGTGGTGAGGCTACTGAACAGAGGTTTGGGGGACACGTGGACGCCGGTCTGCAACACCCGAGAACACTGCAAAGGAAAGTCCGATCACTACTGGGTGGTGGGTCTGCATGAGAACCCGCAGCAGCTCAGGTCAGTCAAGTGTTAATATTGCTGGTGAGATAATATGGAGAATCTCCATAGTGATATAATCAACCAATCAAAATCAATGCACATGTGGCTCGCTCACCCCGCACCCAACTCATCATCTCACTACTGCGAATATTGTGCTGAGGTATCCGCTCAGGTCAGTGAAACCAGCTGAAGGACAGTAAGTTTTGCCTAAGAGCCAAACCAGAACCAAACTGGAGCAAAACTGGAGTCAAACCAGAGCTAAACCAGAGCCAAACCAGAGCTAAACAAGAGCCAAACCCAGCTCCCCTTCCTGAGCTTTGGCTCGGTAAACATAAAAATAATGCGTCCATTGGGGTCCAGATATTTGTGTCAGGAATATTTCTTATTTTAATGGCACTACAATACTCATGGCACCACATGGCACTACATGACTCTACGTGGCACTACAATACTCATGGCACTACATGGTTCTACATGGCACTACATGGCTCTACATGGCACCACATGGCTTTACATGGCACCGCATGGCTCTACATGGCACCACATGGCACCACATGGCTCTAAATGGCTCTACATGGCACTACATGGCTCTACATGGCACCACATGGCTCTACATGGCACTACATCGCTCTACATGGCACTACATGGCTCTACATGGCACTACATGGCACTAAATGACTCTATATGGCACTACAATGCTCATGGCACTACATGGCTCTATATGGCACTACATGGCTCTACATGGCACTACAATGCGCATGGCTCTACATGGCACTACATGGCTCTATATGGCACTACATGGCACTACAATGCTCATAGCACTACATGGCTCTACATGGCACTACATGGCTCTACATGGCACTACATGGCTCTACATGGCACTACATGGCTCTACATGGCACTACATGGCTCTACATGGCACTACAATGCTCATGGCTCTATATGGCACTACATGGCTCTATATGGCACTACATGGCTCTATATGGCACTACATGGCTCTATATATGGCACTACATGGCTCTATATGGCACTACATGGCTCTATATGGCACTACAATGCTCATGGCACTACATGGCTCTATATGGCACTACATGGCTCTATATGGCACTACATGGCTCTATATGGCACTATATGGCACTACATGGCTCTATATGGCACTACAATGCTCATGGCACTACATGGCTCTATATGGCACTACATGGCTCTATATGGCACTACATGGCTCTATATGGCACTATATGGCACTACATGGCTCTATATGGCACTACATGGCACTATATGGCACTACATGGCTCTATATGGCACTACAATGCTCATGGCACTACATGGCTCTATATGGCACTACAATGCTCATGGCACTACATGGCTCTATATGGCACTACATGGCTCTATATGGCACTACATGGCACTACATGGCTCATGGCGAGCCATTCACAAACAACAAGGAAACGCAGCCGTCTAGTTGCAGTGTAGTACCTGGTCTTGTACTGTAGATGGCAGGCTTCTCCACCACTGGGCTTATGGCTACTTTCACACTGATCCGCCGCAGATACACAGCAAAGACGCATGTGCGGTTTTAACGCGCTTTTGCCGCACTTTGTGAGCGTTTTTTAAAGGACAGGGACTTAAAGGATAAGTTCACCTTTTGGAACATGTTACATGTTCCGCTCCTTTTGAGGGTGGAACATGTAACGTGTTTCCCATAGCTGCAGCCACGGCCCCCCTCCCCCTCCCTCTGACAGATAACACGGGGAGAAGTTTCTCCTACTATACGTCAAATGAGAAATCAGCGCAGCCGACTGGGGCTCCACCCACACGGCCGTGTCATTCATTCACGAACTTCCATGAATGAATCAACTGCTTTAGCGGCTGTGGTTGTAGTTGTCAGTGAACTGCCACGGAGGAGTGTGGAGTGTTGTGGTAGTTCATTGAAGCTTCCTGTCAGAACATCCCCTGTACATCCCCCACATTCCCGTACATCCCCCACATTCCCGTACATCCCCCGTTACACACCCGTACATCCCCCGTACACCCCGTACGTTACCCCCGTACACCCGTACGTTCCCCCGTACACCCGTACACCTTACACCCATACGTTCCCCCATACACCCGTACGTTCCCCCGTACACCCGTACACCTTACACCCATACGTTCCCCCATACACCCGTACGTTCCCCCATACACCCGTACACGTTCCCCCGTACACCTTACACCCGTACGTTCCCCCATACACCCGTACACCTTACACCCGTACGTTCCCCCATACACCCGTACGTTCCCCCATACACCCGTACACCTTACACCCGTACATTCCCCCCTTACATACACCCGTACACCTTACACCCGTACGTTCCCCCATACACCCGTACACCTTACACCCGTACGTTCCCCCGTACACCCGTACACCTTACACCCGTACGTTCCCCCATACACCCGTACACCTTACACCCGTACGTTCCCCCGTACACCCGTACACCTTACACCCGTACATTCCCCCATACACCCGTACACCTTACACCCGTACGTTCCCCCATACACCCTAACACCTTACACCCGTACGTTCCCCCATACACCCGTAACACCTTACACCTGTACATTCCCCCCGTACACCCGTACACCTTACACCCGTACGTCCCCCCCCCGTACGTACGTTCCCCCGTACACCTTACACCCGTACGTTCCCCCCCGTACACCCGTACACCTTACACCCGTACGTTCCCCCATACACCCGTACACCTTACATTCCCCCATACACCCGTACGTTCCCCCATACACCCTTACACCTTACGTTCCCCCCATACACACCCGTACATTCCCCCATACACCCCATACACCCGTACACCTTACACCCGTACGTTCCCCCATACACCCGTACACCTTACCCCCGTACGTTCCCCCATACACCGTACGTTCCCCCATACACCCGTACACCGTTTACACCCGTACGTTCCCCCCATACACCCGTACATACACCCGTACATTCCCCCTTTCACCCCCATACACCCGTACGTTCCCCCATACACCCGTACACCTTACACCCGTACGTTTCCCCCATACACACCGTACGTTCCCCCGTACACCTTACACCCGTACACCCCATACACCCGTACGTTCCCCCCCATACCCACCCGTCTCCCCATACACCATACCCCCATACACCCGTACGTTCCCCCCATACGTTCCCCCATACACCCGTACGTTCCCCCAACACCCGTACGTTCCCCCATACACCCGTACGTTCCCCCCATACACCCGTACATTCCCCCATACACCCGTACACCTTTCCCCCTTACACCCGTACGTTCCCCCATACACCCGTACGTTCCCCCATACACCCGTACGTTCCCCCCCCATACCCCGTACATTCCCCCATACACCTTACACCCGTACGTTCCCCCATACACCCGTACGTTCCCCCTTCCCCCATACACCCGTACATTCCCCCATACACCTTACACCCGTACACGTTCCCCCATACACCGTACGTTCCCCCGTACATTCCCCCATACCCGTACACCTTATACACCCGTACGTTCCCCCGTACACCCGTACGTTCCCCCTACACACCCGTACATTCCCCCATACACCCTAACACCTTACACCTGTACATTCCCCCATACACCCGTACACCTTACACCCGTACGTTCCCCCATACACCCGTACACCTTACACCGTACGTTCCCTTACACCCGTACACCTTACACCCGTACGTTCCCCGTACCCCCGTACACCCGTACACCCTTACACCGTACGTTCCCCCGTACACCCGTACACCTTACACCCGTACGTTCCCCCCCATACACCCGTACATTCCCCCATACACCCTTACACCTTACACCCGTACGTTCCCCCATACACCCTTACACCGTACGTTCCCCATACACACACCTTACACCTGTACGTTACACCCGTTACCCCCATACAACCCGTACGTTCCCCCATACACCCGTACGTTCCCCCATACACCCGTACGTACGTTCCCCCATACACCAACGTACGTTCCCCCCACCCATACACCCGTACGTTCCCCCGTACACCAGTACGTTTTACACCCGTACGTTCCCCCATACACATTCCCCCGTACGTTCCCCCATACACCCGTACGTTCCCCCATACACCCGTACACCCGTTCCCCCATACCCACCCGTACATTCCCCCTTACACCCGTACATTCCCCCTTACACCCGTACGTCCCCCGTACAACCCGTACACCCTTACACCCTACGTTCCCCCCATACACCCGTACGTTCCCCCGTACGTTCCCCCCCGTACACCCGTACGTTCCCCCGTACCCGTACCCCTTACACCCGTACGTCCCCCCGTACACCGTACGTTCCCCCATACATAGCTGCTCTGTGTGCTTCTCTCCTCTCACAGCCCTGAGTGGATCCTCCGGGAGTATAATAAACCTGTCACATATAAGTAATAGAAGTCCTGGAGGTGACATGCATGTAGTTGGACTTCACGCCCGTACACCCTAGTGTGTGCTATGTATGGTAGTCGCAGGGCTGACCTACTGATGGGGGTAGTCGCAGGGCTGACCTACTGATGGGGGGAAGTCGCAGGGCTGACCTACTGATGGGGGTAGTCGCAGGGCTGACCTACTGATGGGGGTAGTCGCAGGGCTGACCTACTGATGGGGGTAGTCGCGGGGCTGACCTACTGATGGGGGTAGTCGCGGGGCTGACCTACTGATGGGGGGGTAGTCGCGGGGCTGACCTACTGATGGGGGTAGTCGCGGGGCTGACCTACTGAGTCCCTGGGGGGTAGTCGGAAGGGGCTGACCTACTGATGGGGGTAGTCGCGGGGCTGACCTACTGATGGGGGTAGTCGCGGGGCTGACCTACTGATGGGGGTAGTTGCAGGACTGACCTACTGATGGGGGTAGTCGCAGGACTGACCTACTGATGGGGGTAGTCGCAGGGCTGACCTACTGATGGGGGTAGTCGCAGGGCTGACCTACTGATGGGGGTAGTCGCAGGACTGACCTACTGATGGGGTAGTAGTCGCAGGACTGACCTACTGATGGGGGTAGTCGCGGGGCTGACATATTGATGGGGGGTAGTCGCAGGGCTGACCTACTGATGGGGGTAGTCGCGGGGCTGACAGGACCTACTGATGGGGGTAGTCGCAGGGCTGACCTACTGATGGGGGTAGTCGCAGGGCTGACCTACTGATGGGGGTAGTCGCAGGACTGACCTACTGATGGGGGTAGTCGCAGGACTGACCTACTGATGGGGGTAGTCGCGGGGCTGACATATTGATGGGGGTAGTCGCAGGGCTGACCTACTGATGGGGGTAGTCGCGGGGCTGACCTACTGATGGGGGTAGTCGCAGGACTGACCTACTGATGGGGGTAGTCGCAGGGCTGACCTACTGATGGGGGTAGTCGCAGGGCTGACCTACTGATGGGGGTAGTCGCAGGACTGACCTACTGATGGGGGTAGTCGCGGGGCTGACCTACTGATGGGGGTAGTCGCAGGGCTGACATATTGATGGGGGTAGTCGCGGGGCTGACATACTGATGGGGGTAGTCGCAGGGCTGACATAATGATGGGGGTAGTCGCAGGACTGACCTACTGATGGGGGTAGTCGCAGGGCTGACCTACTGATGGGGGTAGTCGCAGGGCTGACATATTGATGGGGGTAGTCGCAGGGCCGACCTACTGATGGGGGTAGTCGCAGAGCTGACCTACTGATGGGGGTTGCTGTTTGCAGTCATACAATTTGACCCTGGTCCTCTCCTGAATGGGAGGGGGCTGTGGAAAGACATTACAATCCATGGAGAGCGCGGGTCATATGACCAATATGAGGTAACCTTGGGTGGACTCATTCAATACAAAGGCTTCTGTGAATGGGCAGCAGAAGGGAGGGGCAGGCTTAGCTGTTTTGTATTTGCACTCCTCCTGCCAATATTTAATGCATACCTTTTGTGTTGTGTTTTTTATATATAAAGGTGTGTTCCATGCAAAGGTTCCAGATTCCCCCCCACCCTTCCTCGTCCCGCCATGGCGATTCTACCCTTCAAGCTTCCGTATTGTCAGATTACGACAGAGAAGGGGCAGATGGAGGTGAGCCGCCGGGAGCCGACAGGTGACTTTAGGGACCCGTATTGGGGGAGCTGTGCTGGCAAATGGAAGAACCTCCAGAGATTGCCGAGGGTCACGTGACCAGAGCCGTGCGTTTTGCGTCCTCGCTGTGTATACGGCTCCGCATGCTGGACGCTAGGCGCAGGGCTGACCTACTGGTGGGCTTTGCTGCTTGCAGTGTCACCCGGAATGGGAGGGGCTGTGGAAAGACATGGCCATCCAGGGGGAGGAGCCACTCGTGTGGCCAATGTGATATTTCATGCAGCAATGCTCAGCCATCCGCTATTTATTCATGGAATTTAACAACACAGGCGCCCTGCAGCAGGCGGGTGACGTCATCGTGCTGGGACAGAACCTGAGAGAATTAGGGACCAGTTACACTTCTGTGTTGTCGCAGCCTGGAGTCAATCCTATAACACGCCTTGTGAAGCCGTTTCAAAGGATGTGTTGAGCATGTGGTTTTTTGTTTTTTTTTGTTTTTTTTGTTTTTGTTTTTTTTTTTTTTTTTTTGTTTTTTGTTTTATTTTGTTTTTTTAAGCTTGTAAGGCCCCGTTCACACCGGAGTGATTTGTAGCTGGAATCTCAAAGCTCCAATTTTTCTCAATGGAGATGGTTGACATCTCCACTCCAAGCTGCCTGAAGCTCAAAAAAAAGTTCTGGAGCGTTTATTTATTTATTTTTTTTTTTTTTTTTTTTTTTTTTTTTTTTGTTTTGTTTTTTTTTTTTTTTTGCTTTTTTCGTTTTTTTGTTTTTTGTTTTTTTTTTTTTTTTATTTTGTTTTTTTAAGCTTGTAAGGCCCCGTTCACACCTGAGCGATTTGTAGGTTGAAGCTCAAAGCTCCAATTTTTCTCAATGGAGACGGTTGACATCTCCACTCCAAGCCGCCTGAAGCTCAAACAAGTTCTGGACATTTTTTTTTTTCTTTTCTCTCTATCAAATTGGGCAGATTTGCGCATTTTATGAGTTGGTTTTTAGTTTCGCAGCGATGAATACAAATAGATTTGTGTGTTTTTGGAGCGTTTTTCTGCTGAAATGTATAAAAAAAAAAATGAATACTAAAAAATGAATAAATAAATGTAAAATAAATACACAAAGAAAAATAGTCATTAATAATAACATAAATAAATAATATGTAATAATAAATAAATAATCCCTAACCTTAAAAAAAAAAAAAAAAAAAAGAATAAAAAATAAATAAATGTAAAATCAATACACAAAGAAAAATAGTCATAATTAATAATAACATAAATTAATAATATGTAATAAATAATAACCTTAACCTCCTAACCCTAAAAAAAAAACAACAAATGACTAAATGTAAAATAAATACACAAATAAAGAAAAATAGTCATTAATAATAACATAAATAATATGTAATAATAAATAGATAACCCCTAACCTTAACCCCCTAACCCTAAAAAAAAAAAAAGAATAAAAAATAAATAAATGTAAAATCAATACACAAAGAAAAATAGTCATTAATAATAACATAAATTATTAATATGTAATAATAAATAAGTAACCCCTAACCCTAAAAAAAAAAATAATAAATAAATGTAAAATCAATACACAAAGAAAAATAGTTGTAATTAATAACATAAATTAATAATATGTAACAAATAACCCCAAACCTTAACCCCCTAACCCTAAAAATAAAAATATAAAAATAATTAAATGTAAAATAAATACACAAATAAAGAAAAATAGTCATAATTATCAATAACATAAATTAATTATATGTAATAATAAATAACCCCGAACCTTAACCCCCTAAACCCAAAAAATAATAAATGAATAAATGTAAAATAAATACACAATAATATGTAATAATAAATAAATAATCCCTAACCTTAACCCCCTAACCTTAAAAAAAAAAAAAAAAAAAAGAATAAAAAATAAATAAATGTAAAATCAATACACAAAGAAAAATAGTCATAATTAATAATAACATAAATTAATAATATGTAATAAATAATAACCTTAACCTCCTAACCCTAAAAAAAAAAACCAAATGACTAAATGTAAAATAAATACACAAATAAAGAAAAATAGTCATTAATAATAACATAAATAATATGTAATAATAAATAACCCCTAACCTTAACCCCCTAACCCTAAAAAAAAAAAAGAATAAAAAATAAATAAATGTAAAATAAATACACAAAGAAAAATAGTCATTAATAATAACATAAATTAATAATATGTAATAATAAATAAGTAACCCCTAACCCTAAAAAAAATAATAAATAAATGTAAAATAAATACACAAAGAAAAATAGTTGTAATTAATAACATAAATTAATAATATGTAACAAATAACCCCAAACCTTAACCCCCTAACCCTAAAAATAAAAATATAAAAATAATTAAATGTAAAATAAATACACAAATAAAGAAAAATAGTCGTAATTATCAATAACATAAATTAATTATATGTAATAATAAATAACCCCTAACCTTAACCCCCTAACCCAAAAAATAATAAATGAATAAATGTAAAATAAATACACAAAGAAAAATAGTCAATAATAACATAAATTAATAATATGTAATAAAAAAAATATTGATAAATAATAAACACTCTAGTAAAAATAAAGTTCTGACTTTGGAAAGTCCCTGCTGTCGGAATCCAACGGCACAGCGGGGGTGGGGATTTTTCCACACCTCTCATGTGTAGATGGGGGAATCCTTTCAGTTTTTTTCTCGATCTGCCCTCTAACTGTTCTTTGTATGTCCAGCCTGCTTCATCAGTAATTCGTTCATCTCTCTCCCATCCAGGAGCAATACTGGAGGTCGCAAATCTTCACCAATTACTTTCGACTATCTGTCTAAGAGCGGATACGAATGGGATGAAAACGCCAAGATGGCGGTCCAGAAGGAGCAGCAGGAACTGTTAATGAAGATGTTTGCGGTGAGTCGAACTCGTTTTTTTTTCCTTTTTGTTTTCCATCCATTGTGATGTGTATGAACGGCGTCTAACCCCCTCCATGACCCGAGGTCATTATTTCCTAGCTGCCGAATCAATCGAAGCTGAACTCCATCCTAACCTTTCCAGCGAGTCGTCTCCTATGGTTGATTATTCTCAGTTCCCTGCAAACGTTTTTCTCCACAATATAACTTTTGAGGCTGCAACTATCTCGAGCACCACCTGAACAACTCAATCGATCATCAATCTCCTCCTCTTCCGATCATTACTATCAGCGGCATGCCCCACACAGCTTTCTCCACCATCAGTCACTTTGTTCCTGATCATTACATGAAAGAACACATCCCTGGCATCCCTTTAGATGTGCATGCTCCAGCAAACTGATTAGCAGATTATTATTACAGGCGGACTTCGGTTTACAAACGTCTCGGTTGATGTAATTTTCGGTTTACGAATGAAAATCCATTGAATAACGCTTCGCTTTGCAAATTTTTTCGCAATACGAAGCAAGTTTCCCCAGGATGCATTGCGCCGCCTCCATGCATGCTGGTGTCGAGTGTGGAGGTGTTTTTCAATGATTTCCTATGGGAAACCGCGTTTCGGTTTATCAATTTTTCGCAATACAAATCGTCTCGGAGAACGAATTAAATTCGTAAACCGAGCTACCATTGTATTATTATACAGGATTTATATGGCGCCAACAGTGTGCGCAGCGCTGTACAAAATGACGGCAGACATTACAGGTACAATACAATTTGGTACACAAGGAATCTAAGGGCCCGATCCTGAGAGCTTACAATCTAGGTTGAAGGGTCGAGTGATACAATAGGTAATAGCTGTGGGGGGATGGGCTGATGGAGGAAATAAATGGCAGTTTACTAGGTAGAAGCAGGATAGACGACTTTAACCCCTCCCCCTCCAGAGGATTTACCCTCTTCCTGACCAGCCCATTTTTTGCATTGTGACAATTGCGCAGTCAGGCAACACCGCACCCAGATGAAATTTACAACCTTTTTTCCCACGAATTGAGATATTTTTTTTGGTGGTATTTGATCGCCTGTGCGGTTTTTTTTTTTTTTTGCTCTATAAAAAAAAGACCGACAATTTTGAGAAAAAACTTTTTTTTTACTTTTTGCTATTAAACATGTCCTGTAAAAAAAAAAAAAAAAAAAATTTCATTAATTGGTTTACGTGAACATTATCACGTCTACAAATGGCGGTGTGTATACTGGGCTTTTTTAAAAATGTATTTTTACTAGTAATGGCGGCGATCAGCGACTTATAGCGGGACTGCGGCGGGCATTCTGACACTGGGGGGGGGACTAACTTGGTGTCACTGACATCCCCTGTGACACCAATACAGTGATCAGTGCTAATAAAAAGCCCTGACACTGTACTAATGGCACTGGGCAGGAAGGGGTTAATGTGAGGGGTGATCAAAGGGTTAACTGTGTGCTGGAAGTGTTTTAGTAGGGGCGGGGTCTGTGTGTTTCACTGTAATCACACTGATCAGGATGGCTGTGCTGTGCAGTGCACCTAAGCCGACAGGGAGGAGAACTGTTAGTAAACAAAACAGTTCTCCTCCCCGTCGGAGATCTTCAGAAATCACCGGGCGCCAGTGAGTAGTTACCGGCCGGGACCCAGTGATTGACAGCCGCGACTGCGAATGGGGCACGGGTAGGGCAAGCGCCCCCCCCCTACCCGGAAATGCACAAATCATATATATACATGATTCTGTGCACCCCTGCTGGGCTTTTTTAAAAATTTATTTTTACTAGTAATGGCGGCGATCAGCGACTTATAGCGGGACTGCGGCGGGCTTTCTGACACTGGGGGGAGGGGAACTGACTTGGTGTCACTGACATCCTCAGTGACACCAATACAGAGATCAGTGCTAATAAAAAGCCCTGACACTGTACTAATGGAACTGGGGAGGAACATGAGGGGCGATCACAGCCATCGAAAGCAGTGTGCAGGAGCCAACAGGGGGGAGATCCTCGGCAATCACCGGCCGGCACTCGTGCCGCCCTGTAGCAGTATTTCTGCTAAAGGGCGGTCGGGAAGCAGTTAAAGAGAAGGGTTTTCAGGGATCGTCTAAAGTTGGATAGATTAGGAGATAGTCAGACCGATTGGGGTAGGGAGTTCCATAGGATGGAGAAGAGTGGGGGGGGAGGTGGCACGGGAACTAGAGAGCAGAAGGTCATGGGAGATTGCTGGCCATTGGGTCCTGCATACTGTAGCTGTGCAGATAGGAGCATATGCACACCTAAAGGGATGTTGGAGTTGCGTTCTTTCATATAACACTTTAGAAAGAAGACCTGAGGGGGGGGGGGGGGGGGGGGGGGGGGGGGGGGGGGGGGGGGGGGGGGGGGGGGGTGGGGGGGGGGGGGGGGGGGGGGGGGGGGGGGGGGGGGGGGGGGGGGGGGGGGGGGGGGGGGGGGGGGGGGGGGGGGGGGGGGGGGGGGGGGGGGGGGGGGGGGGGGGGGGGGGGGGGGGGGGGGGGGGGGGGGGGGGGGGGGGGGGGGGGGGGGGGGGGGGGGGGGGGGGGGGGGGGGGGGGGGGGGGGGGGGGGGGGGGGGGGGGGGGGGGGGGGGGGGGGGGGGGGGGGGGGGGGGGGGGGGGGGGGGGGGGGGGGGGGGGGGGGGGGGGGGGGGGGGGGGGGGGGGGGGGGGGGGGGGGGGGGGGGGGGGGGGGGGGGGGGGGGGGGGGGGGGGGGGGGGGGGGGGGGGGGGGGGGGGGGGGGGGGGGGGGGGGGGGGGGGGGGGGGGGGGGGGGGGGGGGGTGGAGTTGGAGTGGGGTGGGATGGAGTGGGGTGGGGTGGAAAAAACCAATGGGTGGGGTTGATGGCCTGTTGGAGAACCTGTTGATTTGCCCTCAATCAGGGGTCTGCAAACTATGGCCATCCAGGTGTTGAGGAACTGCAAGTCCCATGAGGCATTGCAAGACTCTGACAGCCACAGGCAAGGCTCCCAGAGCCATGATGGGACTTGTAGTACTTCAACCGCTGGAGGGCCATAGTTTGGAGACCGCTGCCCTAAATGGTAAAGCTTTAATGTACCACCCCAGACATACTGGGTGGAGTTCTCCCCTTTTGTCCTATCTATTCCAGAAGATGAAGTGCCCCCAATCCCAGCCCCCCCCCCCCCCCCCGGTGTGCATGCCCTTTGACCCCACAGATGGTCTCATCGTTGTCGCTCCGTTTTGGCGCCCATGTCGGGTTAATCCTCTCCTCTGTCTCCCTCCTTTTTCCGTAGCTCTCCTGCAAACTGGAGCGTGAATTCCGTGGCATGGAACTGGCGGAGTTCATGGCTCACAACGTGATGAATCTGGCCATTAAGTACGCCTCGCGCTCCAAGAGACTAATCCTAGCCCAGCGGCTCAGCGAGATGGCCCTGGAGAAGGCGGCCGAGCTGGCGTCGGCGCAGGAGGACGAAGAAGAGGAGGAGGAAGATTTCCGCAGCGGGCTGAAGGCCGGGTAATGGCTCTGGCTGGTTTTCAGTTGCACCGCAGCAAATGCATGATTATCTGGGGGCGCCTCCATGGAAAGAGGTTTGCAGGTTACGTGAAGCCAACGTTTCCTGATCTGTGCCGGCTGTCCCATGTCCTGGTATGAAGAAGTCTCCTCTTCTTTGTATGGCTTCCTTTGTGTGAAAACCCTGCCACTCCCTCTGCTTCCCTATTGAAAACTGACCACGCTAGGCTTGAGAGCACAGTGGTCAGTTCTCCAGCTGTGCTGGAAACCCAGCCTGCTCTCCTCCAATAATCAGACTTGTGCTGACACGCCCCCCCCACCTCCATGTGTTTACTGGGCAGATCATTGTACTGCTGTTTCTCCTCCCCCTCCTCTCCGAGCTCATTATGCAGCTGAAAACAGAGGGAATGCAATCACTTAAAAAAGGGGCGGGGGGAGGTATATATGTATTTATAGCTATACACAAATGTTTCTGCTTTACATTTCTATTTAACTGAATGGGTCATTGTAACGGAACCGACCCAGACTGCACTTGGGTATTTCCGCTTCCCCGCCCAAAACACCGACCACGGACCCCACCGCTGACCATACAAGACTAGATGACACCAATCTGTCCGAACACCGACCACAGACACCACCGCTGACCATACAAGACTAGATGACACCAATCTGTCCGAACACCGACCACAGACACCACCGCTGACCATACAAGACTAGATGACACCAATCTGTCCGAACACCGACCACTGACACCACAGAGACCATACAAGACTAGACGACACCAATCTGTCCGAACACCGACCACGGACCCCACCGCTGACCATACAGGACTAGATGACACCAATCTGTCCGAACACCGACCACAGACACCACCGCTGACCATACAGGACTAGATGACACCAATCTGTCCGAACACCGACCCACGGACACCACCGCTGACCATACAGGACTAGACGACACCAATCTGTCCGAACACCGACCACGGACCCCACCGCTGACCATACAAGACTAGATGACACCAATCTGTCCGAACACCGACCACAGACACCACCGCTGACCATACAGGACTAGATGACACCAATCTGTCCGAACACCGACCACGGACACCACCGCTGACCATACAGGACTAGACGACACCAATCTGTCCGAACACCGACCACGGACCCCACCGCTGACCATACAAGACTAGATGACACCAATCTGTCCGAAACACCGACCACCGACACCACCGCTGACCATACAAGACTAGATGACACCAATCTGTCCGAACACCGACCACTGACACCACAGAGACCATACAAGACTAGACGACACCAATCTGTCCGAACACCGACCACAGACACCACCGCTGACCATACAAGACTAGATGACACCAATCTGTCCGAACACCGACCACGGACCCCACCGCTGACCATACAGGACTAGGCGACACCAATCTGTCTGAACACCGACCACGGACCCCACCGCTGACCATACAAGACTAGACTACACCAATCTGTCCGAACACTGACCACAGACACCACCGCTGACCATACAAGACTAGATGACACCAATCTGTCCGAACACCGACCACAGACACCACCGCTGACCATACAAGACTAGACGACACCAATCTGTCAGAACACCGACCACGGACCCCACCGCTGACCATACAAGACTAGACGACACCAATCTGTCCGAACACCGACCACGGACACCACAGAGACCATACAAGACCAGACGACACCAATCTGTCTGAACACTGACCACTGACACCACCGCTGACCATACAAGACTAGACGACACCAATCTGTCCGAACACCGACCACGGACACCACCGCTGCTACTGACCATACAAGACCAGACGACACCAATCTGTCTGAACACCGACCACGGACACCACCGCTGACCATACAAGACTAGATGACACCAATCTGTCCGAACACCGACCACGGACACCACCGCTGACCATACAAGACTAGACGACACCAATCTGTCTGAACACCGACCACGGACCCCACCGCTGACCATACAAGACTAGACGACACCAATCTGTCTGAACACCGACCACGGACACCACCGCTGACCATACAAGACCAGACTACACCAATCTGTCCGAACACCGACCACTGACACCACCGCTGACCATACAAGACTAGACGACACCAATCTGTCCGAACACCGACCACGGACCCCACCGCTGACCATACAGGACCAGACGACACCAATCTGTCTGAACACAACACCGACCACTGACACCACAGAGACCATACAAGACTAGACTACACCAATCTGTCCGACCACGGACACCACAGAGACCATACAAGACTAGACGACACCAATCTGTCCGAACACACCGACCACTGACACCACCGCTGACCATACAAGACTAGACTACACCAATCTGTCCGAACACCGACCACTGACACCACTGCTGACCATACAAGGCCAGACTACACCAATCTGTCCGAACACCGACCACTGACACCACCGCTGACCATACAAGACTAGACGACACCAATCTGTCCGAACACCGACCACGGACCCCACCGCTGACCATACAGGACCAGACGACACCAATCTGTCTGAACACCGACCACTGACACCACAGAGACCATACAAGACTAGACAACACCAATCTGTCCGAACACCGACCACTGACACCACCGCTGACCATACAAGACTAGAAGACACCAATCTGTCCGAACACCGACCACGGACACCACAGAGACCATACAAGACCAGACTACACCAATCTGTCCGAACACCGACCACGGACCCCACCGCTGACCATACAAGACCAGACTACACCAATCTGTCCGAACACCGACCACGGACCCCACCGCTGACCATACAGGACCAGACTACACCAATCTGTCCGAACACCGACCACGGACCCCACCGCTGACCATACAAGACTAGACGACACCAATCTGTCCGAGCACCGACCACGGACCCCACCGCTGACTAGACAACACCCCCCCCTGCTTAAATCACAGCCCCCCCTTCACATCACAGTCCCCTTTGCAATCACAACTCCCCCACATTACAGCTCCTCATATCACAGCTCCCCCTCTCACATCACATTACAGCTCCCCCATATCACAGCTCTCCTCATCACAGCCCCCCAGTATTACAGCTCCCCCTCTCACATCACAGCTCCCCCAGTATGTGACTACAGCTGTCAATCACCGGGTCCCGGCCAGAGATTCCCCGTCAGGGATCACCGAGGAGCTGTGACAGTGGAGAGGTCTGTATGTTCTAGACATCAATCTGTCCTTCCAGCCCCAGGTCCAATTGCTAACAAACTCATGTAGACTCCACCCCCGCAACATCTCCAAGATACGCCCGTTCCTAACCCCGGGAACCACTAAGCAACTTATTCACTCCCTTGTTATATCTTGCCTTGACTATTGTAACTCCCTCCTCATTGGCTGACCTCATCGCAGGCTATCCCCTCTTCAGTCTATCATGAATGCTGCTGCCAGACTCATCCACCTTACTAACCGTTCTGTATCTGCCACCCCTCTCTGCCAATCCCGCCACTGGCCTCCACTCAGTGTCCTCCACCCCTCTCTGCCAATCCCTCCACTGGCCTCCACTCAGTGTCCTCCACTGGCCTCCATTCAGTGTCCTTCACCCCTCTCTGCCAATCCCTCCACTGGCCTCCATTCAGTGTCCTTCACCCCTCTCTGCCAATCCCTCCACTGGCCTCCACTCAGTGTCCTCCACCCCTCTCTGCCAATCCCTCCACTGGCCTCCATTCAGTGTCCTCCACCCCTCTCTGCCGATCCCTTCACTGGCCTCCATTCAGTGTCCTCCACCCCTCTCTTCCAATCCCTCCACTGGCATCCACTCAGTGTCCTCCACCCCTCTCTGCCAATCCCTCCACTGCTCTCCATTCAGTGTCCTCCACCCCTCTCTGCCAATCCCTCCACTGGCCTCCACTCAGTGTCCTCCACCCCTCTCTGCCTATCCCTCCACTGGCCTCCACTCAGTGTCCTCCACCCCTCTCTGCCGATCCCTCCACTGGCCTCCATTCAGTGTCCTCCACCCCTCTCTGCCGATCCGTCCACTGGCCTCCATTCAGTGTCCTTCACCCCTCTCTGCCAATCCCTCCACTGGCCTCGACTCAGTGTCCTCCACCCCACTCTGCCGATCCCTCCACTGGCCTCCATTCAGTGTCCTCCACCCCTCTCTGCCGATCCGTCCACTGGCCTCCACTCAGTGTCCTCCACCCCTCTCTGCCAATCCCTCCACAGGCCTTCATTCAGTGTCCTCCACCCCTCTCTGCCAATCCCTCCACTGGCCTCGACTCAGTGTCCTCCACCCCTCTCTGCCAATCCCTCCACTGGTCTCCATTCAGTGTCCTCCACCCCTCTCTGCCAATTCCTCCACTGGCCTCCACTCAGTGTCCTCCACCCCTCTCTTCCAACCCCCCCCCCCCCCACCTAACAGCCGATCTCATCCATTCCTTCCACCACTCCATCCCCCACAGCCACTTCCTCCTGGATTTTGTAAGCTAGAAGGAGCCGGGCCCTCCAACCCCTCATGTATTGTCTCCCATTATAATGTACAGCGCTGAGTGAACTGTTGGCGCTATATAAATCCTGTATATTAATATTACAGCCCCCCATTTCACAGTTCCCCCTCAACATCACAGTTCCCCCATATCACAGCTCTCCTCACATCACAGCCCCCCAGTATTACAGCTCCCCCTCTCACATCACAACTCCCCCCTCTTTCAGCCCTCTCATTTTACAGCTCCCCTCTCTCGCAGCCCCCCCTCCCATATCACAGCTCCCCACTAACCGCTCCCCTTTATCACAACTTCCCCCTCTCACAGCCCCCCCATATCACAGATCCCTCCTCTGATATCACAGCCCCCTCTACCCCAAAATCTTCCCCATACCTTAACACATTGTGGAGGGC